CACAAGTCCAAGCCGCGTTTTATGGTTTTATTTCCTTAGCAGTCCCCCTTTTTAATTTGATTGATTTATTATAATTTTTCAAGCATTTATGCGGTCATTTCCAGAATGTTGAAGTAGGGAGCGCGCACGCCAATTTGGTTCAGGCTGGCTCGAGATTACGGGGCGGCGTTCACCGCCCGATGGCCGGGAACCCATATGCAGCCATGGCTGGTGCAGCAGTTATAAATCTGTAGCTGTTGTAAATCAATGGCGTCGTTTTGGTGAGTGATTTATGGAGGATGTGGTGTCCACGACGGAAGAATGAATAAGTTTCTCCGCTCGGCCCGGGTTGTACGCTCATTACTGCTTTTAATTAATCCTGCTCAGCGGGACACGCCCCCAAAATCTGCCGGTCTTTTCGAAACCTTTCTCACCACCACCCCCTCTCTCTCTCTCTCTCTCTCACTCTCTCTCTCTCTCTCTCTCTCTCTCTCTTTCTCTTTTTCATTTGACTCTCTCTCAGGAACAAAAATGAACTTGCGTATTGTATTTCTTAAAATTCGTTTCACAATGACAAAAATGATGACAACAGTTCGTGCATGGTGCAAAAATGACTCTGTGGTTAACTGTTTCCCTACTGGCTCTAGCCACAAATTGTTTCCACCGATCAGAAACCGAATACGGACGATTCACAATAGTGCGCCTCTAAGAGTTTGCAATGCGTTGGCCATTCACGATGCGCGAAATCTGTCGACCCAATGCGCGTTGCAAACTCTTGAAGGCGCACTTTTATGAATCGCACGTATTGTATGTGAAAAATTGTTGATTCTCAACATTTTGAGACTTATTTCCCAATACAAGCGATTGGAAAGGTAAAGATTTGAGATTGCAATAATCCAACAGCGACTTCATTCTAAATGAAGTGGGGATGCCTCTCCTTTTAATACCAACTTGGACGTGAAGGGTTCCCGCGGACGAGCTCTGCCAAATGAATGGGCCATTTTCATGTTAGCGTGGGCTGCAATGTCCGCCATATTTTGTAGCGCGTCTGATGCTAAAATTAGGGACACGGGGGCGCGCAGAGAGGGCTCCTATGTGAGCATGACTTGCGAGGGTTTTGGTTGTGAGGCGGAAGCCTTCTTATGCCCTTTACAAATGGGAGGCTAAAATGCAACACGTGTGCGCGTTCAGCCCGAAACACATATTATATAAAATCTAACCATTATGAGGCTCAATGATTACGAATACACAAGGTTGTACATAAATTCAGACGAATTCGGCAATAAAGGACCGCATCTCACACGTCTGATTGCGCCTTCCCAGCTGAAAGCGAGCACACAGAGGGGGTATCATCTCACAAAGGGACGCGGTTGATTGTGTTCACATGTTAAGGGGAATTTCCATAATAACAAATACTGATATGCATCCAAACCGATATGTTGTTATTCATTAATGTCTAATTTTCCGCATGTACTCTATGAGAGACTGGGAAGGGAGAGAGATCAGTAGCTAAAATTGCTAAAACATAACTATAATGCCAACCGTTTCGAAACCTTCTGTCGGTATAAACGGCAACTGGCAGGCAGCATTTGGGCGGCGGCACGGGTGGATTATCGCAGCAAAATGGATGAGCATGTACAGTTAAGATCATTGATTATGAGTCAGTGTGAAATATGTGACTACGGGCTTTTCACAATAGTGCGCCTCCAAGAGTTTGAAAGGCACTGGCCAATCTTAATGCGCAAAATCTGTCGACCCAATGCGCGTTTGGAAAGGGTCGACGGATTTCGCACGTTGTGATTGAACAATGCGTTGCAAATGCTTGGAGGTGCACCACTGTGCAACGCCCGTATTGATTAGGAATCGGTTTTGATGTGAGACGCTGTCTAAGCAGCTCCCGTTCCTGGATTTCTGACAAAACTTAATCAAACATGTCACTATTGCCGGCTCGCTGTCGTTTTGTACCTTCCCTCACTGGATATACATAAAATTATGCAGCACTAAGGCATCCTAGAAGTTTTAAAAGACAATGATGAGTTTCTCTCCTTAATGAGACAAGGTATTCTATCATGGCTCCAAATGTATGAATGTTAGGAAAGGTTTTTTCTCTTTCTTCTTTCTTTCCTCTTTTTCATTTGACTTTGGAGGACCGGTCGACCGTGTCCGTAGGCCGACGCTAAACCCTCACAGCATCGGTAGCCTCACCCGCGGTGCCCCGCGGAGCAGGTGCTTCAGGTAAGCGAATACAAAACTTCTCTCAAATCACTGTTTTCCCACCAACTTACAAAGTTGTAAGTCTATAAAAACCAACCCGTCCCCAAATTTACATGTCGAGTTGGGAGAATGGTGACACCCTGGCGGCCGTGTTGTTTAGTTTTTATTTCCAACCCATCCACCCTCACAAGAAAAGAATATAAGTTGCCTAAATTGTGCGATCTTGAGTTTGGCGTCTATGCGTGGAGTGTAGGTACGTGACGCCAATCGCGATTCGCAGACAGTGCCAGATCGTGGGCTCTGCCAATTAATTTGGGCACTCCAGCAAAATGACGCTTTGATACATCCACCCTCGGAAATTAAACACTGACGAGGCATTGTCTAAACTCCGGGGAGAGGAGAATGAAGTCGGACGGGTTGGAGTGGGACAGCCAGACAGACAGCATCCCCTGCTTGGTTTAAGTGTACATAGTTCCCGGGGCCCATCCCAGTAATTGTGTTTCCAGACGCATTAACAAGCTGTTATCTGTGTTTTAGAGGATTACGTCTTAGCATCATCCCGTAAGCGGAATGATAAAGTGCAGTGACGGAGAAACGCACTTCATATGATCACCACGACACACAGTGAATGTACACATTCTGACATCTTTCGTTTTTTTTTAATAATGTACAATATCCACACAAAGAAGAGAGATCTTTCGTGTACATATATATATAAACTCGAAAGAAAAAAAAAAGATAGTGAAGACCGTCTCGTACAATCATTGCGTGAATTTAACTGATTTTGGAAAAGAGCGCCACCACTAGGCTGCATTCAAACAACGGGTTCCGAACAGGACATTCATGCTGGCTCTTTGCGGATTCTGCAGTTTTGCCATGGTCGTGTTAGGAAGGACATTCGCAGCCATAACAGACGACAAATGCTACTCTCTGCCACGGCTTGCGTTAGCACAAAGTATTTCAATACCAAGGATTAAGGGTGTGGTCGTCAAAAACAAGCTACTGCTGAGGACACTGACAAAGGTGAGCCGCCATCAAAACTGAACACAAATATGGCAGACTTTCTAGAACTCCATGGAAATAATGCTCATACTCTCTAAAGGCAAGAGGGTGTAGTCACTCACTCTCAAAAAGAGTGAGTCCTGTAAAAACCACCCCAAAAGGGAAAATCCCTCTAAAAAGAGTTAAAAAAAACACTCTATAAGAGTGAAAACCACTCTAAACGAGTGAAATTTCCTGTTCTGCTAACGAGCCACATAAAGGACAACTCCAAAAAGAGTAGTCCTTAATATGGCTCCTCTTTTTGAGTGATATGCACTCTTTTGGAGGGGTTTTCACTCTTTTGGAGTGGATTTATAAGGGACTCTCTATTTGAGAATGAGGTTTTCACTCTTTTGCCTTTAGAGAGTAGTCATAATGAAATTACCGAAAATAGATTGAAATTCTGGAAATTTTGGGCTGTTTTAATAGCTAAAGTAAAGCTTTATATCAAAGTATAATTGCAATGTATAAAAGCGCAATATTGAGCAAGAAATTACCGATAAATTATTGTTATATTTTGTCATTCGAGGTGGGAAATTTCTAATTTTCGGGGCAGCCCTAACACATGCACTTGATCACGAGGAGGTGGGACATTTTGTCGACAATACTAATTACTTCCTTTATCAACATTGCTTGTCTGAACACTTCTACACGACAATCATCATGGCCAGTTGGAGTCCACTGTCTTTAAGTGATGGTCCCGTTGAATCATTAAGAAACAATGCTGCTTCTTAATGGAAAAACACTCAACGTTAATACTGTGAAAAGTAAACAAATTTGTTATCATGTTTTAGCCAGAGTGTTCTACAGTGTACAGTAAGGAGTCCAATTGGATTAGGAATTCTGTGTTCCCTCCATTTGGCATTTTTTAATCATCTTGTCTTCTTTCTAGCGTTTCCTGACCTGGTCATAATATCAGGTGGCATGGGCGTGGCTTGAGGAGAGGCAGTGGGGTATGAGAGGTTTTACTTCTAACCCAACGGACTGATACCCTAATCACGTGCCTAAAAAGAGTCGCCGTGTACAAAATACTTTGTTGATCATTACTTTCTTTGTACCCAGAATGATTTGTTTAACTACTTTTCTTAAGGTTCTAAATTTGTTTGCGGTCCCAAGCACTCATCTTGGAGTAATACCTGATTTGAGTGGATGATGAATAACTGGGGAATGTGCAATTCTGTCAAAGGTTCAAAGACGTAAGTGTTGGGAATGATGTTATAGGCGGAATGTCTTCAATGCAACAAGCCAGTGGCGTAAATTTGTGCCGGACATTGGGGGATAGGGAAATGTGTGTATGTGTTGGGGAGGGGGCTTACCCGACCATAAAAGCGGGGGGGGGGGGGCTGACACCATATAAACATTTACAAGGGACAAAGTTCATGATATAGAGGCACGTCCGCAATGTGTATTACATTCCCGTCGAACCAGAACTGCATATTTAAGGCCTTTACAAATTGTTCTTCATTCTTGAGTGCTATTTTGGTTGTTGGGAAGTCCGAAAAATTCTTTGTCCTCCGCCGTAACTTTTTTTAAAGGACTGATTGATTTTGTTTATTATGTGATTGTTTTTATCATGTGAACAAGGAGTATCTGGAGTGAACTGTGAAATGTAACAGACGGAAAATCTATGACTGTGTAATAACAGTGATGTCATTGATCAAAAAGACGAATAAAGAGGCCACGAAAGAAAGACAGCCACAATTGGCAGAGCCTCAACCAACAACGGCTGCAATGAACAGGCTCGATGCTGACCAACGTTGTCCGACTTGCACTATATTCATCTTTTATTCTACACAATTAATCTTTGGTAAATTCTTAATCAAATCTTATACAGGACAATACCTCAGGCAAAGTGCCCGATGACCGGAATGAAATTTAGATGTGTATATGTATCAGGTTATGTACACAAGCATAAGACACATAAGAATTATTTTCTTAAGTTAACCCAAATTGTGACATTATACCAAAAATAACTGATATAATACAAATACGACTTTGTCACTACAATAATGCTGAATCGGTGATGTTCAGTTTGTATAAGCAATGGCGTCATGGGTTAAAAAAATAACCCAATCAGACCAGTTCATATACAAAACTTAATAAACTTCAAAATCGAGTAGTGGAGTGAAAAAACAACAAATAAAACAAAATCTACTGATTGTTAATTTAATGACGTAAAAGGAAAACATTTGGCACGTAGAAGAGAGAAGTTTTTTCAAATTAAGATTGTACGTTCCACCATAAGTACAAATCTTTATAATTCAGATGTCAAACACTAGATTCTCCTAAACAAGAGGCCGGGGAGATGTTTAATTTTTTACCCGTCCAATACAATTTCCCTTAACCTTCCTATTGACGAACCCCATGCAGTCTCGCACTACTTAACAAAGCTCTTAAATGAGCGTACAGCCCTCCAGCCCCAACTCTCCGCCGCCAAGTAACTTGGTCCACCCCCACATTTCCACTATCGATGGAAGTGCACCAACAAATCGGTGATGAGCAAAAATAGTGATTTAGGCAGCAATTGCTCCCCGTAAACACCCCAGCTACACAAGACTAATGGTAGGACAAACTGGGCGCATGACTAAATTTTCGTGGGCAACAATAAAAACAAAACATGATTTGGGCATCAGTAACTATTGCTCCCCCTAAAAAATCATCCATCTGGACAAGAACAGTAACACGTGACGTGGCACGTGACTAGAATCCACCAGGTTTTCGTTTCCAGCAATAAAAAACTTTATACTCTGCATGTGTAACTGCAGACCCCGTCAACGCTGCTCATTTGTAATTTTGTTGAGTATTTAAAAGTTGTGATGATTCACGAGCTGCTGCGAGTTATAAATTCGTTTTCTCTTTTGGCTGGGATATAAATTTGTTTGGAAGCGCAAAATGATTAATGCTTTTCGGTAACGCTTAACGTCAACATGTCTGAGTGATCTGCTTTGGTTGATAACTTTGCGCAGACATCAAAGAGCAGTGGTTAAAAAAAAATGTGGGGGAAAACAGACTCAATGCAACACATTCGAAGAGCACTGCTAAATGGGAACTGAAACCAAGCACGAAAGCAACACATGAACTATATTAATACTGCGATTGAATAAACGGTCGTGAAAAGTAACCGATTAGTTCATGTTAGAATTCGGCCAATGGAAAGTCACAACGTCAAGGAATAGCTTCATAAAAAGAGCGGTTTCTACACAATTGGGAGGAGGGAACCAAGGTTGAACACACTGTACCCCAAAATCTCTCTTGGACAAAATGTCTGAAATTCGTGGAATGACTTGCGGGACTTCAGACCCGGTAATGGATGGCGCTGTCGTGAGAATTTCTTTCTTGTCCCGTATGTTGGGTTTTACGATGGAATACACACTCCTCTGAAATGCTCCGCTTGAAGGACAGAATGCTAAATGTCACTCTCTCAAGGAACTAACGCACCGTAAAATATGCGGTGTTAATTCAGCACCATGCTGCATTTAGACCTATAGTAACAGCTGTTGAACAGTCTTGACGGAGGCTCACAGACGAGGGAGGAAAGGAAGGGAAGGAACCAAGGGAAGAACGAGGAGGGCTGGACGGAGTTGAGCAGGCTAGGTCGATATTGGTAGAAATTGTGACAGCGTGGCGAGTCATGCTCCCGCTTTAGAAGAACGAGCGAGAGTGAAGCAGAGGATATAACCATCGAAGGTTGTTAACTTGGATGGCTGGGCTATCAATGTGCCAGCCTGGTCGAAGTATATAAGCTCTCATTGGTCAGCACACAACTACATTCTTTCTCTGTGGTCAGGGCAGTTCAACAACTTCCACAGACATTCTTGTCAGGTTTGAAAAACAAAAGCCACCATGTGTTTTTGCTTAAACCAGGCACTTCATGCTTTCATACAACCGAGCAATACAGTGTGTTTTGTCAGACTCCTTTGTTATAAACAACATCGAACATTTATTTAAACATTTGAAAAGACTGGTATACACAAGTTTCTGGTGGGGATATCGGCGGGATTTTCATTTGTGTAGAAAATTTGGTGATAACAGACGACATCGTCATTTGGGGGAAACACTTTTGCGTAGAATTTGAATGAATCAAGATTGAACGCTATAGAGTCCCAGAAACCTCAGCAAAACTACCAGTCACTTTCTGGGCTTAGGGATGTGGCTAGTCGAGTACCCAGTGCAAGTGTAACGTCAACGCGTACATGTACATAGAATGTAGACTCAAAGCCACAGCCACAAGAAGATCCAAAAACTGGCGCGAGTTGTAATTTTTGTCTATTGGTGATTTCCGGCGCTTTCCTGCTATTCATTCACAATCTTCACTGGTCAGACTGGCTGCATACAACATTACACTCAATACTTGGACGGAAGAGCGCAATCCATCAGACTGTTGTAAGAGCTCAATCCAATCTTAAACGCTTCCACAGTCGTTTAGATTTTTCTTTTTAAAGTCCTAAGAGACAAAAGGAGGGGTGGGAGAGTTTTACAGAGAAATCATTGTCAGAAAGACTTGACGATGAGATGTTCTCCTGGGTGCGCCGCCGTCATGGAGAGACTCCGGGGAGACGTGGAGGGAGAGAAGGGGTCAACCTTGACGGACGCCTGCAGCTGGTCGCTGGACGGTGAAAGAGGACTCTTCTCCGAGGACAGTTCCTCCTTGTCCGAGGACGAGTCCCCATTGGACTTGAGGTCCGGCTTGATCTCGTCGCCGTCTTCCTTTTCGGCTTTGCCGCCCGAGGGCCGGCGCTTTGCCTCCTCTTTCTTCCACTTCATGCGGCGGTTCTGGAACCAGATCTTGATGTGGCGCTCCGTCAGGTTGAGCATAGCCGCCAGCTCGATCCGGCGAGGCCGTGAGATGTACTTGTTAAAGTGGAACTCCTTCTCCAGTTCTAAGAGCTGGCCCCGCGTGTAGGCCGTCCGCGTGCGCTTGTTCTCGTCAAAGTCGACAAAGGATGCGCCTGTGGGAAACATAGACAAGACATGTTGAAAAAGTTTGTTAGGGAAAAATAGCGTTGGTTTCTGTCCATCACAAAAGCTTACAATCTTTAATTCAATTGAAGAAACTAACTTGTATTTCAAATCAAATTAAAAAAATGTAGAGACCAAGAACGTACAAGGAAAGCACGCCCTATACCAGAGAAAGAGGCCAATAGAGTTAACCATTAATAATACAAATTTTGAGTGAGGGGTAGCATTTGTAGCATCATCAAGAAAGGAGCAACCTATGAACCTAAGGCAAGAGACATCTGCAGTAAAAAAAGGAACCCTCGGAAAAGTGGAAAAATGAATAGAATTGTGTGGGAGTGACTGAAGAAGAAAGTGAAACTCCATGTTGGAAGGAGAAATTGGACAGTGCAATTTCTGCTATGCACTATCTTTTCGCTCGTCCTCTCTCCCACAAATCCATTCAGCCGATCAACATGTACATCTGTTTCTTTTATCATTTACTTCGTGACAGGCCCGTAGTCACAAACTTTCTTTCTTTCGAAGTTTTGTTGAGAACATGTGTGGCTTTTAAATTTCCCAAACAATTTCAGGGGAGAAACTGAGGACGGGACGAAATTTGATTCCTGTGTGTTCACCGTGTCTCCTGGCCGCTTTAGACGAACTCTCGGCTTGCGGGCGGCATTGGTTTGCTCGGTTCCCTACACGACAGGGATGACAGACGACCCCTAGGCCGTGTTCCCATCAATCTTTCCCGCCAAAAATAAAATCAACAAAGTTCCGGACATCACAATATTTCCTCTGCGTGATCGCAACGAATTCATCATGATCCCCGTGCGCAGCCGGCTGTATTAGGGCTCACGGTCGCTCTAGGTCTCCCTGCGCTTCTGATCTGTGCAGTACGTGCGCGGTGCGGCGGACATCCCTCGTACAAACCGGGATTTGTACCCGCATACTATCTGTCTCTTCCCCCCAGAATTATACCGGTGCCGCTCAATCATTCTTAAATTCAATTCAGGCCCGTGTACCATGAAAGCACCGGTCGCAATGCTTGTTTAACTAGCCAACAAGCCCGCACCGAGCGGTGAGGTACTCTCTCCCACTGTTTCTACCTCCCCGCACCCGCGATTCGCTACATTTACCGTCGGAGTGAGAACCTTATGTTATATCTGATGAGTCCAATATTCTCTCTTTCTTTTTCTACTCCACCGCTATGCAACCCCCCCCCAACAAAAAAAACTCTCGGCTGGGCCTAGGACCGAGCGTCTCGCACTGCCGCTGGACGGAGAATGCAAGCATGACATGCATACGCCGAGATTTCTGGGCCATTACGAGGCTAGTTCTGCCGGAATATGTCAACGCGGCCCTTGATAAATGACCAAGCTTTTTTGGTTCCAATCTTTTAAAGTATAATTAATATCCTTATTCCACCGACACACAGCTTCACAGGTACAAAGATCCCCATGTTTGGAGGAAATTAATATATGCTAAAATTGGTGATTTATTTCTAATATTGCCTCATCGTCTCTTGCGACTAAAGATAGGGCACCCTGTCTCTTGAGTTCTCGAGTTTCTCAGACGGAAACAAATAAAGAGAAGGACACCCTCGTCTCTGGAGACTCAAGAGAATTAAAGTGAAAAAAAAGAAAAAGAAGTTTTCGAGGGTTGGTTGTATCATGAACTGCAGGATCACGGCCAGGTGTTAGGGGTGATTGTAAGAGGATGTTGTGGAAGGCGTCTCAGCGTCTCTGTGATTTAAAACACTTGTTCGGGGTAATGCTGAAGCGTATAGTTTAATGTGGCCACTGGTTGCCAGATCGGAACCGAAGGTACAGATTAGCAAATCTTGTTGGGTTTTGGGGGGAGGGAGGTGGGCGTCTTGTTATAGTCATGCAGATGGCCTCCGGAAGAACCAATATGGGCAGATATCGCTGTTTTGTGACTTAGTCAAAGTTTCCGAGGCGAACGTGATGTAGCTTGCATGTTTTTTTTTTTTACAGGAAGTCGTGTTATGCGTACAGTGAAGTGCTTCAGGGCTGTGACTTTTTCGTGTTATAGTTTGTTTTTAACCAAAATTGCAGTCACACCTTGACAGCGGCAACTGATATGATTTCGCGGTTCATTTGCACTCCCGTATCCAAATGCAACCTGAGTATCGAACCCGACAAGGTACCGGGGTCCATGAATAACGAGATGGCGCAACCAATTAACAGGCTAAACAGTTGACATGATGGCCCTACTCACTACTACAAATCCGGTCAAGCAGACCTTTTAATGCACCCGCTGGCTGACGAGTAAAAATAACCTACTCCGTTGCTGTCGCCCTAATTGTATGCGCAAGCATGCACCCCTAATATGGCCCGGGTGTCACCAGATGGATCTGAATTGGGCCGGTCCCAAGACGTGGCTTTTTCTAAGCAGAGTGGATGAGGAAAGGATACAGAATCTAGAGCAAGACGAGGCGATAGACAGAGAAGGAGAGAAAAAAAGAGAGAGAGTGGAAGGGGCAGCGAGCGACGAGACAAGGGGAAGTGCTGGTGATTAATTGCCGGGCGAGACAGCGAGGACAATGCCGTCAAGCCACCAGTTAGCGAGCCGACCGCAGAGCTTCCCGTCCGGCGGAGACGAAGGGCTCGCCCCGCTGGGCCTGGGGCCGAAACCTCGGTGCGCCGACAGCTATAGGGACAGGCGCTGGGTGGTGTTGAGATGAGTGCACTGGAGGGAATGTCAAGTTACGTGGCGGTGTCTGACGGACGGGGTGGCGGCATATGCATGCCCTGAGAAACCCGTCCGGAAATCAGACGACTTCGGTATATCGCTTCTTGGATTACGTGATGGAATGGAATTGTCGCGTTCGCCCAGCGCTGATGAAATTGATCTAGTTGGGGCGAAAGTGTTTGCACACACAAAAGTGACACACCAAGTAGTGTTTTCGGAACATTTTAAATGCGATTTTGCTTCGAGAAATAGGACAAAATTCTTACGGTGACAGAGGGGACATGTTGTTAACAATACACCGATAAAGCAGTGATACATCACTGGGTCAGAACACCAGCGGTGACACAACAAAGTTGACGAGCTCCAAAATGTTGTGCTCCGATTCTAAACTAAGCCTCCCCTTTAAAACTGAGATTAAATCCAATAAGACCAATTAATTATGTCAGTTAATGCCTTGTATACACTGACAAAATTTACAGTTTTTGTCTTTGAAAGACAACTCGAATGCCATATATGAATAAGAGTGGTCGTTCCTTTTGTATAACAAGTTTTAAAGATATAACAAATAATTTCGATGAAATCGTTATGACATTAAGATAAAAAAGAAAAAAATGAGATTTTGATGAACAAACGGCAACAACTGCACTGCTAACATTATGCAAAAAAATTACTAAAAATAACAGTAAAAAATAAACACTCCGCTTGATACCCAAATTGACAAAAAGATTTTCTCCCACGTTTAACCCTGAACTCAAGCTTTAATTATGATGTATGTCCATTTTGTTACTCAAATCGTTTACATTTTCAAGTATCGGAACACGCTTTCACTAATGACACTCGGTTACATGACAAAAGACTACCTGGTATATTTAGATTCAAACGGGAAATATGACCTTCTTTTATTTTAAACAGTTTTGTCCCTACAGAAGAAGAGACCGATACAAATTGCTGCATAGTTGGCCATAGTGAACTAGTTGAACATTGACAGTGCCAGGAATCAATGTAAATCTTGTCTGTCTCCCTTTTCTGGGTCAGTGTAACAAGTTGTTCCATTTAATACGTAACACGCCGAGAGGTAACGTCCATTACGACTAATTATTTCTAATGGGTTGGCCACACATCCCTAACTCCCCAGCGCGGGACGGGCAGTCTTCTCCTTCCTGCTTGTCTCTTGTTAGCCGGCTGATTCAAAAGTGACAATTCCTCCACTACCAAGCAGACGAACATCCTCCCTCCCATACCATCTCTTTTCTTTTCCCTCCAGTAAAATACACAGCCACAGTCGTCGATTACAATGTGTCATCCATGCACATATTATAACCGCCAGGAATGACGAAGGGAAAAAAATATGACATTCCAATTTGCCGGGCTTGGCTGGCGAGCCGTGAGGTAGCTGTCGTGGGTTCCCTAGTTACAACAGCCGGCGATAATGTTCTTGATGGTCGTGCCACAGGAATTAGGAAAGGCAGGCATAATAACAGCCATCCGGCGAATAATGTGCTATCTGTCTACTCTTCCGTCATCTTTTTCCCCTCTCTGTATTTGGTCGTCTTCTCCTCTCCCCCCGTTATCTGGGTAATTATTCCTTGGCCTAAATATGGGGGAGGTAATGGATAAGGTGGTCCGCGGTCTATATATCTGGAGTGGCTGACTCTTATGGGGGATTGGTTACGTGATTAGGTGGGCCCGGCCGGTCTGCCGTTAAACAAATGTACGTGTAAAGCCAGCGTGTGTGAATGTGTGAAGGCAAGCCGGCCGAATCTGCCATCGATTCCTGGGACCGCTGCGCAAATTTGACAACCCCCTCCCCACACACGCACATATCACAAACTCTGTCGAGTAGTTGAGTAGGCCTAGTTGAATCCGGGTACTTGGGGGCCCGCTCATTCGGCATCCCACATTGCACCAACACAATAGACAGCGATAAAACAGCTGGTTCTGCATTTCAGACTGACAAAAAAAAACTTCAAAACGAAAGTCGAAAGCGAGTCGTTTTCGGTCAGAGTGACTGTTGACCCCCCAAATACTAGACTGATTATCAGACTGCAGTGAATAGAGACACATGCGGCTGGGCGTCTGGCAGCGAATTGTGGCAAATCGATTTCTTAACAGGCATCGACTATACACAAAAAAAAAAACGGAACCACAGAAAATTTTAGGCATTGTTCAAACAGGCCTGTTTAACGAACTCAAGCGTGAAGCGTCGTGAGGGTTCGGAAACTGGGCAAGGTATAAGTAAAACGAAGACTAGAAGATGATAAAGGGTTGGCCTCCTAACTCTCAAGGTGCCATATTACCTCCAGAGATGTGCCAAGGAAAGTGGGGATCTAATATAACATGCGTGGTTTGGGCAGGAATGCAAAACTTTTTGTACGGTGCAACAACGATTCAGTCATGTCTGCATTTTGAAAAGGACCCCATTATTTTGTTGCAAACTTGTATTTGTCACTGAAAAACACATTATATAACGACCACATCTATCAAAACTTACATGCTAAGGTTCTAAAACCTTACTCAAATCCGCATGGAATTTTTTTCAATTATTGTTCATGTTTGAGAATAGTTTACGATGCAGAATGTAGCGAGGACGCCGTCCTTAGAGCCTTGAGTTTAACCCCTGCCAAGCAAGCGATGTATTCGGTGCCAAAGTCCCCCGAACACTTCTCTCGGTGTCTTGAGGAGAGGTAAAGAGGGGGAAAGAGTGGCAGAAAAGATATTCTGTCACTCAATTTCGAAGCAAATCTGTTGTTTCCGCGACCGTGGGTACTGCCAGTAGCAATTGCTCACTCGCTAATCTGTGCCGAATTCCGCGGCTCGCTCGCAACCATGAGTGCGTCTTCACAACCGGCCGAAGATCTCATCAATTTTACCCGCCAAACCCCCCTTCACGTCTTGAGGACCTAGCTACCGAGGCATCGGGCGAAAGATCAAGGGTGTTTTCTACGCTGCTTTTGCGCATTAAGATGGGAAGAGAGTAGGGACAGTTAAACTTTCGCTTTTTGCCCCTCCTTTTAAATGTTTGAACTGAATTGGCGGGAAAAGTGAAAGGAAAAGAAAATAGGAACAAAAAAGTGAAACCAGACCTGAAACGAGGCATCTGCCGTCCGCGTCGTGACGTTGTTGCATGCTAGCCAATCGCTGCCCTCCTGCCCACCCTGGTGACCAATAAGAAATCAGAACATTCACAACCTGGCAACAGGAGGTTATCTCATTTTAATGGCTACTGGCTGATTCAAGAATCGGTCAGCAAAACGTTTGATAACGACTTGCCCTAAGTCAGACTTGACTGGGTTGAAACAGATGTAATTTTTATTTAGATTAGGTAAACCCAATAAAAAAAGGGAATTAAAAAATACGGAACAGGATTTAATATTTCAGAAGGACACTCCCAAACACTGCACATGAAGTGTTAATTAGACATTTTTGACTAAACTAGTCCTAGTTTTAATCACCAATACTTGATTTCCTGCGCATAAAAGCACTCGTGAGTCTCATATCCGGCTGGTGATATCATGGCTATCATGTACACCTCCGTTATGAAAATCCAACTGGAGAAAAAGGCGCCACTGCTGTTCGAGAACCTATTCTCTTTCAACCCATGTTCACATACTTCAGAAACGTGTGCAATAGCCACATTATCCTTGTACCAGATGGTGTAAATTACATTCGGGTGTAAAGAACAAAACAGTGAACGACCCCCCCCCCTCTTCTGACTCAATGATGACTATCAAAACAAAACAGAACTAAAAAAAAAAAAGAAAAAAAGACGAGATTAATTTTGTGGGGGTAATTATTTGTTGGAACTCCCCATACCCTTTCAAAAGAGACAACAAGTCTGGAGTCTCGGGGACAACAAGTCCCGTCCTGAGGACCAGAGCAGTGATTGGAAGCGACAAGGAGGAGTACACCCTCTCATCCCCCGCGCGAGGGTTCGGTGAACTATAGAGACTATGCTCGCGTGGGGAAAGTAAAATGAAGAAAAGTGCTCCCCGATTCTAGTCCGGTCGGCCCCTAACAACAAGAAATTAGCGATATTGCCTAGACTAATTTACTCCCACAGTGGGCATTATTTGAAAGACTTTTTAATCAGCATTTGTTGTTGTATCAGCCAGACGAGGAGGTTTGCAGACACAGAGGCAAGATGATCAAGAGGAGTGAGACGAGTAATTTCTTGTGATCAAGATTATGAGTTTCCCTGCTGTTTTTTAATCTGAGCACGAGATATAGTTGCGACTGTTTAAATGGCGGAGCCTACAGCGGCAGGCCCTCGATGTGGGCACGCGACCGGTGCCAGGATCCCTTATAACAGCGCGCCGTCACCCAACGGCTTTCCCCTCTCAAGATACCGACGGTGGAACAGGCGTTTGGGTGTGGGGGAGACTTGTTCGCGTCGCATTTCGCCCGCGAAGAGACGAAGGGCAGCCTGCTACGCAGAAAAAAAATCACCAAGTAATTTGTCTAAAGGCCGAGGGCTTGACGTTTGGGGGTTTTGGAGGGGCTATGTCAACCCCTATCAATAGACGATCGGGGAGAGTCAAAGTGTCTGGATGGAGTGCCTATTGTGCCACAGTTTTAAAGAGACGAGTTGAAAACCATTGTGTAATTTGTCTGGGAAGGGCGAAGGTGAAATTCTAAAAAGCTGAGGGTGGATGTCTCAGAGTAAATGGTTTAACATTAACAGAGTGTCTTCCTATTGAAGGATCGTCACAAAAAGCACCGGGTTTACACGCAGGAGCATCGGTTGGCGTATATATCAAGCGACGATCAGCTAGCCGGCCCCATGAGCATCGACTCCCGCACAGTGCCATCTTTCTTAATCACCCCGGGGGAGCGAAACCCTTCCCCCCAAGAGATCATGGCAAATTGCCCCGTGCGATGCATTATAATGCGCGCTCATGGTCGCTTTTAAGAAGCGCGATTATGGGTGGTAAAACAGCGGGCAAATGACATCAATTTTCAGCTTCATTCTTGTGTTTCAACATCAGATAAGAGGTCGAAGGAAAGGCGCCTAGTCTCGCAAATGGCAAACTGAGGAGAAGAGCGGGGATGTATTTACATAATGGGAATGAAGTGTCCAGTTCGAGCGAGAGCTAGAAGTATGTGTTTTTAGCTTTACCATCAGGCGTCTTTTTCGATGTCTCTTTTGGTCATCAACCAAGCTGAATACAGAGTAGAAATCATGCTATATCAGCCACTCGCAACAAATCTTATTCAAGGAAGCCACTTCTGATCAGGTTTTCTGAGTATCTTATTAAATGTTCTATGTCAAACGGGGTAATACCAGACTATTTAGCCTCCATGCATCACTTTTCATTTTCTAAATGTTGCTTAGAATCTTTAGCTATAATAAATGATAAATTTAAAATTCTTTATCAAATTTTAAATAAAATTGATCTGAAATGAATTTTTATTTAATTGCTTTCATTTTTATTCTTAGGTTTCCAACATACTAATAATAAAACATCGCTTTCAATTTAACATGCACGATTTGCGAATAAGGTTCATTTCGTCTTGGAGGGTTTGCAAAGATTGACGCTATTTGTAGCAACAGCGCCCTCTTCAGTGCAATCACACCCGTCCAGCTTCTGGGCGCAGACCACTAATTCAAGGGAGAATTTCTTGCCATCCATTAGCATTAAAAGTGCCCCCACAGTATCTTTTGAACAAGGAGATTGTTTGGCCCCCAAAATGGTGAGATTGTTTAAATTGTTGCCAGGATCAACTCTCTGGGTCTTTGAGCTTTCATGTGAGAGCAGAATGGCTAAAAACTATGGTCGAAAAATGTTCCTAAGTGGCCGAAAAGTTGAGTGTTGCCACTTGAAAAATGGCTGCAACCAGACTTCGGAAAAATCACTTTTCGGGGGGTGATTTTTGTTTTGTGGGAATAATTAAAAATGTAATTGGTTAACCCACAAAAAATTGAAGAGAAATTGAAAGATTAGGGATCAGACAAGAATTTCATTTGTGTTTCAGAAATCTCGGGGATGTTGGCATGCATGTTATTGGGCCCTGAACAGTGCTGATTTTACGCTGTTTTCAACGGGGCTTGAATAAGTGGACTGTACCATTCTCCGCAGCTGCGGCGCGCGCATGCGCCAGATTTCAGGGCTCCTTTTACCATTCTTTGCTAGGTGTTGCATGCCAGCGAAGGAGAGACGCTTAGCCACAAGAACTTATTTGGTGATATGGCACAACTTAGACGGTGTTTTGGGGAAACTTGCAACTCCTACGTCCAACGTAATGAACCTCTGAAATAAAAATTGATTGGGATTCGACCGTAATCTATGCGCATGCATGGAAAATGAACAGCTGGAAACGCCAAAAAACACGGTGTAAAAGTTTGAATCGACCCGCAGAAAAACAGGCCCTACCGGCCGTGCGCGGTGGTATTTTCACCCTCCAGTTTCGCTTTATCGGAACCCGCCTTCAGATCGGTAATGTAAACCTCATGACTAAACGTGTTGACTTGGAAAAATTTGTATTTGTTTTCCCCTTAATCGGCATAAAGGGTGATATTCTCCGTGAGAAAAACAAGCACATGCATTTTTCAACAAGGGTCCATCGTCTGGCCAGAGTGGTAAAATGACTGTCAATAAACATGGACAGGATTCTAATTATTTCGGTCATTAAAATACTGAGCATAAGAAAAAACGAAATGTAAAGACTCCGGGGCACTTTCAATTTCTGTCGTTAATAACGCAGCAATCGATCGGCGGGAAGAAAATGACGCCAAAACGAAAACCATAACGTTTTCCCTACACATGTTTAAAATTGCCTTTAATACCAATCTTTACGGGCACCAGTTAATTAATGTAGCGAACAAGAAAGGTATCCACGTAGTAGAGCTCGCGATTTCCATAACTTAGACAACTATATTGGGCTGAAATCTCCACGGCCTACAAGAATCACAAACAGATGGTGCGGTGTTGAAAGTTCTCATCAACGCTTTGTGAGAACGGCATACTCGAGGCGGTTGTTTAACAAATTTCAACAACAGTTTAGTCTTGGGAACCGGTCCAGAAAAACAGATAGTAAAAATTTCACTTTCTCTCTCGACAGATGAACAAATGAACTGAACAAGTTGTTTCGTTTGGTGGTGTGTGACGAGACAGCAACGAAATAATGACTAAGAAATGCTGTTGTGAGTAAATAAGTTGATAACTGACGATCGGTCGAACCAGCAGCAGACGAAATGATAGCCGTGTCCACAGCATGTAGCTTGTCCTCATGCTTTGCAGAATTTAAAAGAAGAAAAAAAAGGACTTTTCGTTTTGAGAAGAAGAGTCAGCAGAACTAGATTCCTTTAAATAGACCACCCTGTCTGTTTCAAGTACATTATATAATTCCCTGAAAAACAAACTAGGTACAAAAGTAGATGGAATGAGACAAAAAGATTTAAAGATGGAAAAATTTAAATTTTGAACAATGACACGGTCGTTTCACCCAGTAGCGTTGTAGTGCTCTGCTTCATGCAAACAGGACACCTTCCAGCAATCGGCATAAATTAAAAGTGCCGTTTATTTTACAATTCATTTTTTCCCCTAACTTGTAGCACTTCATTGTGTCGCACTGTCAGTTCCGGTAAATTGTTTACTCTTCCCCTTTGAAATGAAATGTCGCCACTATTGTTTCATACACTACTGATTTCCTCAAAGGCAAAATGTGTCACGTGGTATGTTTCCGGATCTCATTGCTGATTTCGTACCACAAAGTTTCCCTTTTCATCGCTCCAAGCATCACAACAACATTCAGTTTTTCGCTAAATGAAAACCCATTTCAGCCCACAACAGATAGGCCTATATAAGAAGAACTAATAATATCACTTGAGACTCAATTTGGTTCCTCAAACTCAACAGGAATCTTCAAAGCATATGCCTACCCGGTAAATTCAAACTGGGATCGCTCGTTGGCGCCGTTGCGATGAATTCCAAAAATAGATCGAATGTTTTCATTCCCTTCAATCTCATGGAGCCATCGCGATTATACGTGATGAAAAGCACGTAAGATCCTAGCTATTGGGCTTAATGGGCCACAGGTTTCCACATGAATAAAGGCAGATCTACGTTTCCGACCAAAGTGGTCTGTTTCATATTTTATTCTAACAGGGTACATAGGTCACAACAACACTTAACGTCGAAGAACTTTAATTAATGAC